AGCCAATTCACCTAACAGTCATAATTTTGCACTGTGGGAGGAAGCTGGAGTACCCACGCATGCTCAGGGAGAACATGCAAACTCCATGCAGAAAGACCCAATCTGGAACTTGAACTCGGAACCATCTTTCTGTAAGGCAGCAGTGCTACCCACTGTTCCACTGAGCAGCCCAGTTAATAACCCAACAGCAATTTAATATCTATTCTGTAAGAGTTCAAGAACAATTCTTTAATAATTTAATCAGTTGTTCACCTTGACTTTAAGTGTAACAAAAATTTTGGCTGGTAAAAAAAATAAAAACATTGTGTGGATTGTGAAATCGGCGGCTGGTGGCCAAAAAAGTAAACTTTAGTCCCTGCTCACCTGTCACAGAGATTAGTGTGTCCATGGGGGTGTTTGGAACCAGGTCAGCCATGGAAATGCCACTGTTAATATGTTCCACTTGTCTGCCACCTATAAGAGGAGACGGTGATAGGTCAGGTTTACAATCAGAACACTTACTCTAGACCTCAGATTTTAGTGCTGTGAACTAACCTTTTCGAGCAGGGTCTAGTATTAGTTTTCTTGGTTCTTGTATAAGCACACCTTTAGGCTAGAAAAAGAAGAAAATCAAGAGGGAAATATATTTTGTAATAAAGGTTCCAGACTGCCGACCTGTCCAGGGTGTAACCTCACCCATAGACTGTCATGATCTTGGCACCTGAAGGCTTGGTTTTACTTCTTTTTGCTCTCATCTGTTTTGCTCCGCCTTGCTCTCATTATCTCTCATCAGATCCACCTGTTCCTGCTGCCATTTCAGCCTCTGGATCCGAGCCTTTGTTACCAGATTATTTAAGTTTCTAGTGAAACTACCTCTAGAGTTCCCTTAGTTTAGTTCGACCTGTTCCTGACATGTTTCTGCCCATGGACTTCTGAGTTTTGGCTGCCCCTGTTCTACTTCGTTTTGCCTGTCCTGTGTTTCCGGGCTGTTACCTGGATTCCGCCTTCAACATGTATGCATGTTCTGATCTGAAGTTAAACACCTCATGTTATTTCTAAAATTTAT